CAACCCAATCCAAAGCCCAACCACCCTGTTAGAAAAATAAAACTGTCTTAGCAGAAGATGACTCCTACCTAGCCAAAATTTATATTTGTGTCTCCTAGTCCTACTATTGTTGCCTTTAAGTATGAAAAAAGATGATGTATCAACACATTCAATTCCCTTTACAATATTAAACACCTCAATGAGATCCTCTCTAACTCTTCTTTTTTTTCAAGAGAAAACAATTTCAGAGATCTTAATCTTTCCTTATATGATAGCCCATCCATCCCAGGTAACCATTCTAGTAACCTTCCTTTGAATTCTTTCCAAAAATTCAATGTCCTTCCTAATGTAAGGAGCCCAAGACTGAACATAATACTCCAAATATGGTTTAATAAGTGATCTATACAATGAAATTATAACCTCTTTAGACTTGTATTCAATATTTCTGTAGCCACAATCTAAATTCCTATTTGCCCCACCAGAAGCAGCAGCACACTGATTGGGTGGCTTAAGAGACTTATCAACCATTACACCAAGATTCCTTTCTTTCATGACATTGTTAAGGTCATGATAACCCACATGCATTATCTGGCATTAATTATAATTAAAACTCATCTGCCATTTATTTGCCCAACTCACTAAATGATCTGAATCCTTTTGTAAATCAGCAGCACCCTCTTCACAGTTAGCAACACCCAAGACCTTAATATCATCAGCAAATTTAAGCAATTTATTGACCATTCCTTCCTCTATCTCACTGATGTAAATCAAAAAGAGCAAAGGTCCTAAGAGTGAGCCCTGAGGTACCTTATTTTTGACATTAATTCAGTTTGACTGAACTCCATTTATAACAACCCTGTGCTTTCTTCTATCCAGCTACTCTTCTATCCAATTAGCTAACTTATACCTCACAACTAGAGATCATTTTTTACAAGCTTTTCATATGGCACCTTGTCATAGGCTTCCTGAAAATCCAGATGCACCAAATCTACACTTTACGCTTATATACGTAAGCAGTAATGTTTTCAAAGAATGTTAAAAGATTAATGGAAGACTTTATTTTAGTGAAACCATGTTAACTATCCAATAAAATTTTAAACTTTGGCAAATTTATAATTTAATGTAACTTAGTACTTGATCAAAGTATAGATCATAACAGTTTATAATATACTGAAACTTTACCTGTACTGAAGAAGAAGTAAGATCAGCATCTGAGTAAGAAAGCTGTTCAGATTCATTTTCCTGTTTCTTTTTTTTCATTTCCTTAAGAGCTGTTACTTTGTCTAGCTGAAGAGTGAAGTCTTGGCAGACAAACATAAATATACTTTAATATTTTTATTGTATCCATGAAAATTAAAAATATTTTATTTTTAACACATGAGCTATAAATATATTATTGGAAAATACGATAAACTAACTGAAGATCTGACACACAAATTTTGGAAACATATGGATATGGCCAAAAATATCATTAACAATGAGGGCCCTTTAATATCTAAAAATCAGTTTTATTAGGTGTATAATAGTGACACAAGAGAAATGCTCCCTCCATCTGATTTTGTGTGGTGAGTATCTCATGTAAATAATGGAATAGCCTGACTTGTAACACTAGGCACGCTACACACTCATGCTCAGCTGTTTGCTTGTGGGAGAGTGAAAGGTCTATCTGACCTTCCACCCAACTTAGCTACACATTAGAACCTAGCAAATGAATCGTTTGACATATTTTGCTCTACCACTCTTGCAGGTGAAGAGTAGTCCCTGCTTGAGATGGATGCAGTTTTCCATTGCATGCTGCCCCACTAGTCTAACCCTTGTCTTGTGGGTTTCTCACTCCATAGGTTTTTTCCCTTTCTGATACTGTTATCAGAAAGAAGCATATCTCTGTAATTTCTATCTCTGCACTTGCCCCTCCACTACCTTCAATGTGGGATTATAACTCTTTTTAGTTACAGAAAGGTGAGTAATGTCTTTGAAGTTAATATTTCCCTTATCTGAAAATGTATTTCAGATAGAAACTCACCTCTCTGCACCATCTCCCACCCATTCTCCCAATTTCCAGGCACTTAGTTTGCCTCATGAAGAATGAGCCCCTCATGTTAACTCCATGGTCTGTGAAATACTAGAAACCGGGTTTCGATACCCGTGGTGGGCAGAGCACAGATAGCCCATTCTGTAGCTTTGTGCTTAATTCCAAACAAACAAACAATCACCAAGAATGAGCCTTTGTTTAAATATTAGTTCTCATAGGGAATACTGCACACAATGGATGTGTCACCCTCCTATTGGTGGAAGGCTATTGTCTATTGATGATTATATCATAGGCTGGAGTAATACACATTAACACGTATAGAGATGGGAGCTTTGTTCAACACAGAAACTTATATGGCAGAGTGCCAAGATAACAGCTCTTTGTGATGCAGAGGTTTATATGTATCTGAAATACATTTTCAGGTAAGGAAAAATGTTGCCACTAATACACCATTTTTTAGTCTTTTGGGTATTATTGGGTTATAGGTTTCACTATGTTGAAGGCAACATAAGCAATGTGTTATACGTCACTAGAGTTTATGTATTTCATAAGTAAAATATGCTATATACTCTCTTTCACATTACTTTTATTACCAGTACTACTTAAAATGTTTGATACATTTGTTCTTATTATAAAGTTTTTACTGAGGACTAGCTGAAATCTCCTAAGATGGCTAAATCTTGTGCTTGTGAAACGTTATTGGGATTTAGGCTGAAAATATTACTAACTAAGAGTACTCAGCTCATGAAACAGTGCACTCTAAGAACAGAATGATTAATTAGCTATACTCATCATTAGGTTGATGTTTAGTTCTGATCTACATAGGAAGCTTGCTTTGACCAAAAGTCAATATTCATTTGTCATATATTGTAAAAATTAAACCTCTAAACTGGAGTAAAAGTGCTTTAACACTTGTAGATGAAAATTAGCACACTATAAAAGAAAAATAACTCTGAAATATCAAATTTGGCATACTTGCAGAAGTTAAGATTGGGTCTGCATCTCGTGTGTAGAAAGTACTTCTCTGGCTTTCACACTGACTTCCACTGGGACATATACAGGGTGAACTTTCTTCTTTCAAAACTGATGACTGAGAATTGATGTGCAAATTACAGTAATAATATAACAATATTAGTTTAAAATTTCCTTTGAAAATACTAAGATATATAAACTTATCTTCAAATATACAAATACATAAGTTTCTAAAATTGAGTTGCTTAAAGAAAATTACAACATGAACAAATTTTTTAACACTGGAGAACTGGCAAATTCTATCATATGAGCACTGGATAATTCTACCATAAGAAAACTGAGGAATTTTATGACAAGAACTTCAAGAAATCCTATCACAAGAGCATTTAGAAGTTGATCTATCACAGGAAAACTGATAAATTCTATTGCAGAAAAATTTGAGAAATTCTGTCCCAAGAATCCTGAGGAATTTTATCACATGAACACTGGATAATTCTTTCAAAGAAACACCAGATAATTCTACTATAGGAACAATGACAATTTCTATTGTACACTGGGGAATTCTTCAGTAGGAACACTGAGTAATTTTATTACAGGAAAACTGGAGAATTCTGTCACAGAAAAACAGAGAAATTCTATCAAAGGAACTATGAATAATTCTGTTACAGGAAAAATGAAATATTCTATCACAGGAATCATAAAAAATTATATTACAGAAACATTGAAGAATTATATCACAGAAACACTCAGCAATTCTATCTCAGGAACACATAAAATCAATTAGTATTTCTATCAAAAGAACACTGAGGAATCCTGTCACAGGAACCTTAAAAATTCTATCCCAGAAACATTCAGAAGTTCTATCACAAAAAATTGAATAATTCTGTTGCAAAAAGAAACATATTCTATCACAAGAACTGAGAAATTCTGTCATATGAAAACTATGGAATCCTATCACAGGAAGACTGAAGAATTATAATATATTAACAGTGGGGAATATGTTCACAGGAAACCAATGAATTCTACCAAATAGCTGAAAAATTCTATCACAGGACACAATTGAATATTATCATAAGAAAACAGATAAATTCTATTAAAGGAACACTGAGGACTTCTGTTGCTGAAAACTGTGAAACTCTATCACAAGAACACTGGAAAATTCTATCACAAGAATATTGCAGAATTCTATTGTAGGAACACTTAGGGATTCTATCACATGAACATTGAGAAATTCTATCACAGAAATACTTGCAAATTCTTCTAAAGAAACACAAAAATATGCTACTTTTCCCTAAACAGTGAAAAATAGTTTGCTTACAAAAAAATCAGTATTGATGAAGATCAAATGTGGTTTACCGATATTTGGAAAGATGTAGTAAAAGAAAATATCACATCATTATTTGGTATCACGAAAATAGTTCTGACTACTGTCTATGATCAGTAATATTATCAAAAAATAATAATATGCAGGTCAAAAGATCAGTTGAGCAGCTAAAATAAAAACAACAACAAATAATGATAATCTAAATTAAATTATTTAGTTTAAACTCTAAGCTTTGAAATTCTATCATCAATTTACATGCTAATTAGAATTTTGAATAAAGTTTGGAGAAGTACTATTAGTATTAATTAACCCAAGAAAATTGCCTGTAATGTTAATTATTGTTAGCTCAGATATGAATTAAAGTCTGAAGAGTATTAATTGGGATTTCAAATAATCTGAAAAATGTTAGATTTAATTTCAATTATCTAAAATGTACTAACTGCAGTATTAATTATTATGTGATATTTGATTTGCTACTCACTCGAACAGACAACTGACTAATAATTTCTGGGGTGGGAGGGTTAGATGAAAAATAATATGGTAAGGTCATGAAAGATGGACTAAAATGTCCACTAGAAGAAGGTGTAAGGGGCAAGTCACTATCATCTTTTATCTTCACCAAATACTTCTTTTTCTCTTCTTGATTCTGCTGTGTGTTGGAACTAAACTGTGATACATCTCTTGATTTCTGTTCCTCAGTAGCAAACTTACCACAGGCTTTCAGTGGTGTAGGAACTTCTTGGTGGTTTAAAGTGCTTGGACATTTTTGTAAAAGGCCTAAGCAGGAGCATGAATTACTACTGTTATTAGATTTTATATACACTCTTTCCTTTTTTTGCTGATTATCATTACCCTGAAGGCTGGCGCTTCTCAACGGAGATCCACAGCAAATATCAAGTATCTCATTCTGAAAGTGGCGGTTCTTGGAAGAACTGTAATCAGTCAGAGAATACATTATTTCACTTGGAGAAAATGTCTGATTGTGTTTGAAACACATAGTAGAAAAATTCTTGCAGTCTAGATCACACCAAGTTGCTTCCTCTCCATTTGAGACTGAGCTCTTTATATCAACAACAGGTGTGAGATACGATGGGTCTTTGGACACTGGAGATAGTCCATACTGAAATGGTGCACATATTATTTTACTGGTGTAATGATCTTTTACATTAGTGTACATATTATTTTCCTTTTCCAATTTTGTTACAGAACTGCAGATATCAGAAGACGAAGAATTTGATGAAACACTGAAAGTCGTCTGCAGCCATGACATGTCCCACACACATGGTGAGAGGCCCATACAGAAAGGTGAGATATCTAGGTCTTTTTCATCACCAGAAGTCTTTTTGATTGGAGAATTACGGCAGTCCCTCTCCTCTTCCATGAACTGGTTTAATTTGTCATGGTTGTTTTGTGATACATGGATTAATACAGAACCTACAAGTAGTATAACCTATTAAAGTTCATTACCTTACCAAAAGAGCATCATTAAAAAACTTGTTTCCAAATTATTACTACCTTAATTAATCAAAGTAAGTATCATTAGGAAACCTCTTCCAAATTTTACTACTTTATTAAATGAAATATCATTAAGAAGCATGCTCCAAATATTCACTGTCCTACCCAATGAGAGTAAGTACCATTAGAAAAATATCTTCCAGATATTTACTACCATATATAATGAGATCAAGTATCAATAAAAAACCTCTTCCAAATATTTATTTCCTACCTAAGTTTCATTACAAAATATCCTCTAAATGTATACTACAGATCAAGTGGAAGTAAGTCATAACAAAATCTTTTCCAAATGTTATACCTTATTAAATGAAAGTATTATTAAAAGAATTTCTCCACAATGATTTCTACCTTTAATGCATAATGAAAGCATCATTTATAATATATTCTCCAAATGTTTACTATCTTACCTAATGAAAGTATCAATTAAAAAATCTCTTCCAAATGTATACTACCCTAAGAGTAAACATCATTAAAATTATCTTTAAATGTTTTCAGCTATACCTGGTAAAAGTGTCATAAAAACCTTTTCCTTTATGCATATTACCTTATGCAATAAAAGTAAGTACCACTGAGGAAATCTGTTACAGATGTTTACTACCTTACCTAATGAAAGTGTCATTAAAAAAATTTATTCTAAATGTTTACTATCTTTCTTTTTTAATGTGTGTAATTACAAAAACTTTCTTCTGAATGTTTACACCCTAGTATTACTTTACATAATTAAGAATAAGTATCATTGAAAATTATTGTACAAATGTTTTCTACTTTACTTAATCAGAGTGAGTTTTATTAAAAAATAGCTTCCAAATGTTTGCTACCTCACCTAACCACTAATTTGGCCTCACATGGAATGTCATGTACAGTTGTTAGATATACATAACTCTTTCAGTTTAAGTTATGCGAGTGTTATGATTTAGACAGTTTATATAGCAAGAATGTTAAATTTAGTTATTTTTTTAGGAACGATAGTTTATCACAAGCTTGTTTATGTAGCTTTACAAATCATACATTCTGTAGTGCACTAGTTATGAATTGGTGATTCCTACATTATTGCACCGTGTTACTAGAACCTTTCGAGTTTTACTCGTTGTTTTAAGTATTATTGCATCACAATATCTAGTAGTTTGTGGAATGTTCTAGACCTCTGTAGGGGTATAAATATGCATTGAAAATGTAGCTCAAAAGTTAGATCTAGACTGCATGATTGTGAGTTTAACCATAAAGAGCATATAGTGGTGATTTTTTAAAGTGAAATTATCACAGATTGTATTGTAATAACAGAGTAGGAAGAAATAATTTGCCTTGTCAATTGTGTTCTAAAGTAACTGAACCAGCCAGTGTAGATTTTGACAAATTATTTAAAGCTCTGGATACAAGTGTTATAACCAACAGTGTAAGGAACATTTGCATATATGTTTGACTTCTTTTAATATAATATTTTAAAACAAGTGGACTGTGTGCTGTTTGTTCATTGTTGAAATTTATCACCAACAAGTCACATACACTACTGTAAAGAATCCAGCCAAGCTCATAAATACATAAAACCTGACAGCAATAAGTAAGCCTATATCCCTTTCCAGATGGGTCACAGGTGAAAGGCCATGTCATCGCATTTGTTGACTCGTATTCAAAATTTTATTCAACTATTATTTCATGAATTTAAGTCAATAAGTTTGATACCAAACTGTAGATTATAATTCAAATTTGAATATTATATCTTACATGATTTCTTAATTTAAAAGTAAATAAAAAAAACACAGTTAAATATTGATTTTTGTGGGACATGTGGTATATTCAATGCAGCACTGGTTCAAATCGGATGTTTGTGATGTCAAAATACTAAGTCTATAGTCTTGTACAAATTAGGAGCTCAAATTACTAATATTGACAAGCTAGAATATAAAATAAGAGCTTCTTATCTTTTCAGTTTGCTAAGATATTGCCCATGTAATAAATCAAATATAGTGGCACCCTGTCCACCTCTTTCCATTTTGGAAACACTCCCTTATATACACTTACTTCTATATATGACATGAACAACCAATCAGAAGCTCAGAATGTCTTCCTAGTGGTTTTTCTCAGCCATTTTAATGTGTTTGGATGCCACTTCTTTCTTTTGAACCAATATTTCAAGGAGGAAGGTAATGACTGAAATATAGCTTAGTTACTAAGCTTGATAAATTACAGTGTAATTCTATGGTATTGATATAGTAATTTATGATTTTTTGGTTATTCAAATGTATATATAAAACTTAAAAAAATTATTAAGCAGCAACCAAGTACAAAGGTTTAACTAGAAGAGTTAATTGTTTGCTTTACTTCTTTATTTACTGTTCTATG